CTTTGCCACGATACTGCTGCTCATCCCGCGAGTCCTTTTCCCTTTTCCACGCCTGCTCACGGCAATTCCTGTTCGCCTGCTCATCCACGTCTGCTGTGATCCCTTTTTTGCCGCGATTCGTCTTTTCTGACCGAGCCCTTTTCACGTTGATTTAAGATCAACAATTTGGATATTTTATTTAGATATCTTGGCTTTCTTTGATTTTTTGGTTGAATTTGATTAACAAAAATTCTATTTAAAATGTCTTCTAAAATCTTAGCTATCAGATTTACGGGAAAGAATTATGCCGCATGGGAACTTCAGCTTATACTGTTCCTAAAAGGGAAGGAGCTTTGGGGCCATATTGATGGGTCTTCCCCAACTTCTACTGAGACAAAAGATCTTGGTCAATGGGAAGCAAATGATGCTCGGATTGTTTCCGATTGTTTCCTCAGATTTTTTCTTGGATTTTGGGATCTATTGAGACTCATATGGGGAACAATTTACGATCCTTTGGCGCAGCTAAAGAAATGTTAGAATATTTAAAACACGTTTACACTCAAGATAATTCTGCGAAACGTTTCCAATTGAAACTTGACATGAGTAATTACAATCAGGGTAGTCTTTCAATTGAACAATATTATTTTGGCTTTTTAAATTTATGGGGCGAATATATTAGTATTATTTATGCTAAGGTGTCAAAGGAGAGCTTAGCTAGTTTTCAAGCTATTCATGAAGAAAGTCGTCGTGATCAATTTTTAATGAAACTGAGACTTGAATTTGAAACTGCTCGAGCTGGGTTGCTGAACAGAGATCCGGTTCCTTGTTTGGATGTTTGCTTTGGGCAATTACTGCGCGAGAAACAAAGATTGACGATGCAGGTTACTATCAGTACAACAGGTGTATTATCAGAAATAATTAATATGACATATGCTACTAAGACCAAAAGGAAAGGACCAATGCAGTGCTACAACTGCAAGAAATTTGATTATATTGTACGAAATTGTGAAAATAAGGTATGTACTTATTGCAAGCAAAAGGGACATACTCTTACGTAGTGCCCGAATCGACCCCAAAACCGCAAACCACAAGCACTTCATGCCGCGGTATCCGACACTCACAATCCTGCCACAACATCCACAGTTGCTGACAATAATCAATCAGCTGTCGCACCATATATGGTTCAACAGATGATCCTCTCTGCCTTTTTGCTCTCGGCCTTCAAGTGAAAGGTAAAACTATTACTTCCGTTCTGTCTCCTTGGTTTGTTGATTCAGGTGCCACAAATCATATGATTGACACAACTGATCTATTGCATAACCAACGACCGTACACTTGTACTCAACATATTCAAGTTGCTAATGGAAATAATATTCCAATTACGATAGTTGGTGATATTAACTCCTCTTTCAGACATGTCTTGATTTCTCCTAAATTATCTACTAAATTACTCTCTGTTGGTCAAATTGTGGATGATAACTGTGACATGCATTTTTCTCATGATGGTTGTATTGTACAGGATCAGGTGTCGAGGAAGGTGATATCGAAGGGGCCTAAAGTGGACAGACTGTTTCCATTACAATTTACTGTCCCTCGGAATATTTCATTAGCTTCTTCAGTTGTTGAGAATAATGTGGGCTTCTGACATAAAAGACTAGGCCATCCCAATGATATGATATTGAAAGTGTTTTTTATTCTACTTATAAGAGTTTAGTAGTTGACTGTTCTGCTTGTAAACTTGAAAAAAGTAAGACATTATCTTTTCCTATTTCAGACTGTAGTGTCAATAAATGTTTTGACATTATTCATAGTGATGTTTGGGGAATCACATCAGTTATTTCACATGATCAATACATATATTTTGTGACATTTATTGATGATTATAGTCGATTTACTTGGATTTATTTTTTACGTTCCAATGTAGAATTATTTACTGTATTCCAAACATTTTTAGCATATGTTGTAACTCAGTTATTCGCTTGCATTAAAATCTTACGATCTTACAATGACGGTGAATACATGTCTCATGAGTTTCAAATATTTCTACATAGCAAAGGTATTATTTCACAACGTTCATGTCCCTATACACCACAACAAAATGGAATTGTTGAAAGAAAAAATCGACATCTATTAGATATTGTACGCACATTACTGATATAATCTTCTGTCCCAGCTAAATTTTGAACTGAAGCTTTATCTGCGGCAGTTTATCTCATTAATCGTTTACCATCTCAACAATTGAAGTATGAGTCTCCCTACTATCGAATTATTGATAAACATCCTGAGTATCATATGCTACATACTTTCAGATGTGTTTGTTTTGTTCATCTACCTGCTCATGAACGTCATAAGTTGGCAGCTCAGTCAGTACGATGTGCCTTTATGGGGTACAATTCTAATCATAAAGGTTTTGTGTGTTATGATTCGATTAATAATCAATGACATAATTCTCGGAATGTGATTTTCTTTGAACATGAATATTACTTTCAGCATCATGTGTCGACACCAGATATAGGTTCAAGCTGGACATTGTCTACACAAGACGCCTGCCCCCTTCACCTTCAATCCTCCCCGACCCTGATCCAGAAATTGCTCCAATAAGTATTCGACGATCAACTCGGCGTATCCGTCCTCCAGATAGATATGAGTATTCTGCAATTTTAATTAACACTAATGTTCCTACCTCTTACTTTCAGGCTGTTAAACAGACTTGCTGGGTCAAAGCTCAAAGCCATGCAAGAAGAACTTCAGACACTTTAAGAAAATCACACTTAGGATATTGTTTTATGTTCTACATGTGTTAAACTCATTGGTTGTAAATGAGCTTATTCTCTTAAACTCCGATCTGATGACTCTCTTGACAGATATAAGGCAAGATTGATAGCTCTTGGCAATCGACAAGAATACGAGATTGATTATGAAGAAACATTTGCACCGGTGGCTAAGATGACAACTGTCCGACTGGTGCTATCTATTGTTGTATCTAAAGGCTTGTTTTTAAAACAGATGGATGTTAATAATGCATTCTTACATGGGAATCTCAAAGAAGATGTCTATATGACTCTTCCTCTAGGCTTATTTTCTACACCTTCACATGATGTTTGTAAGCTCAAACGGTCTTTATACGGTTTAAAACATGCTCCACGGGCCTGGTTTGAAAAGTTTCACAATACTCTTCTTAGCTTCTCTTTTATTCAAAAGTCAGTAATGATTCATTATTATTTTTTTCAAGATTGACAAGGGAATTGTTTTGTTATTAGTTTATGTTGATGATATTGTCATCACAGTATTTGACATTCAATTGATGTCTTAGCTACAAAAACGCCTTCAGAGTTCTTTTCATATGAAAGATTTAGGGTCATTAACTTATTTCTTAGGACTCGAGGTTCATTCTTATGCTGCTGATATTTTTCTTCATCAGCACAACTATACGAAGGGACTCATCGCTTTGGATGGTCTTCAAGATGATCGCTCCACTAATATTCCTTTGGAAGTAAATGTCAAATATCAATAGAATGATGGTGACTTTCTATCTGAACCATCTCTATATCGACAACTGGTTGACAGTTGTTGACAGTCTCAATTATCTGACTATTACAAGTCCTGATATTTCATTTGCTGTGTAACAAGTTAGTTAATTTATGTAAGCACCCACACATCTCTATTTAACTGTAGTTCGACGTATTGTTCGGTAATTGAAAGGTACTTCTCATCGTGGTTGTTCTTTTCTGCGAGAGTCTCTCATCGCCTTAATAGCCTATAGTGATGTCGATTGGGCTCGTTGTTTTGATACACGTCGATCTATTACTGGATGACACATGTTTCTAGACAACTCTTTAATCTCTTAGAAGAGTAAGAAACAAGATCGAGTGTCTAAATCATCTACTAAATCAGAATATCGCGCCATTTCCTCTGCTTGTTCCGAGATCATTTGGCTTCGGGGCTCGTTGGCTGAGCTTGGTTTTCCTCAGCTTTAGTCTACTTCTCTTCATGCAGATAATATTAGCGCTATCCAGATTGCTGCTAATCCCGTCTTTCATGAACGCACGAAACACATTGAAGTGAACTGTTATTCCATTTATTCCATATTTGAGAAGCCTATGAGGATGGTGTTATATCTCTTTCTCATATCACTTCTGATCTTCAAACGACTGATATATTTACTAAGGCTCTTTCTCGACAGCGTCATCAGTTTCTTGTCAGCAAATTGATGTTTTTTTATCAGCCAACATTAATTTGAGGGGGGATATCAAGCAGAAATAAATGAAATCAGACAGAATAAAGAGTTTCCTTCTTCAAAATGCTGTAAAGAAGGAAATATTATATTTGCACGAATTCTTTCTTTTTAGCTGAATATTTAAATTAGAAATATGCATTCATTAAGTTATTTAAAATAGATAATACAGAATATTATGTGCCTAAAATAAATTATACAGACTATTATTTATTGGAATGAAAACAAAGGAAAAGACATTCAACCTATTTGCTTGAAATATTGACACATATAATGTTTTTTTGCTAGTAGAAATTTCAGTTACGTAGACTTTTTTAACTCTATAAATCACAATATATTTCTTATGCTTCTATTTAGAATCTAATTCAACCAATAGTTTGAGTGTAAAAAGTCTAATGAAAACTTAATAGGGATATCCAATAATTTCCCCGAGGTCTTCTAGTTCCACCCTATTGTGCTGTTGTTGGTCTATGGAGAATTGCATTTTTGTAGCCTAATTTTTCTTTGATTATTGTATTCTACTTCATCACTTATAGCTGCAAATAATTGTTTGCTGATATTCATCTTATGTTGTCGAACTAAATTATTTGTTTATCATGTCCATCTAAAATGGACTTGTTTTATTACCAACACAATATATCATTATTTTGGAATGACCATTTTTGCTGACTGGAACACTTCCACCAAAAATGTATTCTAATTGATTCTATTTTGGCTTCTGCAAACTGGTATGCTAAAATTACTTACCATTTGATATGCTAATTTATCTTTCTTTTTCCATTGGCAGATTGTTTTGCTGCTTAGGCTTGTCCCTTTACTTCCATTCAATATGTTAAATTACCTCCTATCTGTTACTCCTGTTGGCATTTGGGAGTACATTATGGCTTCATGGCTTGGAATGATGGTATACTTTTTTTTGTAATCTTGCTAACTAGAGGATTGGTTTGAGTTTCAAGTTGTTATCATTTAACTTTAATTGACAAAATTAGCTTTATTATATTTTGTATCATAAGGAACATCGTACTTAGTCTGAAAGTTTTAATTTTGAAGACCTCTAATGACTTGAATAGCATAGTGACTTGTCTGGTTTTAGTAGGTTATTGCAACCAAGTTCCTTATCCCCCAATGTATGACAAAGCAATCAATATTTTCTTTTTAAAGCTATAAAAAAAGTGGTGCAAACTTTTCAACATAAGCTGATTTGAACATTATATGACTAGCCATTTGAAAATATACATGAAATACCTTTGATTTTAAAAACATTTGCAAAATATTATACAGTTTCTTGGCACTTTGATGGTACATTCATTGTTTCATCAAAAAATTATAGTTTATTGTATTATGATTTTCTTATTGTTGCAAACCTGGTGATGTCTTTCCTCCAACAAAGCAAATTGGAGTTTTGCAGTGGGGGCGGGGAGTAAACTTAATATACTTGGATAAAGTATTATCTCCCTTTTAATTTTTCCGGATTACGTGGATGGAATATTATCACTCTCTCAAGTATTCTGGCTTTACAAAATGCTGGTTTTCCTTTTAGCTTTACTATGATGTTTAGTTGATTTTACACATGCATAAATTGCTTGTTATATCTGTTTATGTGAATTATATATGCTTATTCAGTTACTTTTAAAACTATAACGATTAAGCTTATTTAATTGAGTTCTGTTTGGTTTTTAATGGGTAGATTCTTAATGGAGACTTTTAAAATTATTTTTTTTTCATTATATATATATATATATATATATAAACATACATACATTTTTATCTTGCAGTCTAATCTCCTTGAAAGTTGATTCAGCTTTTCTTTCTCATGCACCCAATATGATGTTCTTCAGCTCAGTTCCGCTGAGCAAAACTAAATTCAGCTCATCTACAATGCAAAAAATATATCTATAGTTGCCATTAAATATTCATTTAATTATAACAGCTCATTTTAAATTTGTTTTTGTCAAACAGCCAATCACTCTGGCACTTGTCTATGTTGGAACAACTCTAAAAGATCTCACTGATGTGACCCACGGGTGGAATAAGATCTCTGCTTCTAGATGGGTAAGATTCTTTGTCATTTAGAATCAACTTGGCTTTAGATTTTAGAAAGAAAATTTCATCTATTCATAGGTCAATTGTTTTTATGATAATTATTTTTTTTTGGCGAGTGCTTTTTATTCATTTCTAATTGAACCTTTAAATTGTTTGCTCATTTTGTTAAGGAATAGAATATTCTTTTGGCTGATTTTTTGAAACCAACTTCAAATACTGAGGTAATGATAGCTTTTGATCTCCATGTGGAATGGACTGAAATAATTTGTCTCATTGAATCTCAGTTGCTCCATTCCTGGATTTGAGACAAAAAATTTTACATTATTTATTCCTTTGATTAGCAAAAAATATTGATAGTCAAATGCTTTTATATAAATAGAGAATTGCATTTGTTTAGGCATAAAATTAAGCCGAGCTGAATTGAGCACACTGTAGATCCGATTTGGCTCGGTTATACTACAAGTTCAGGTCAGGTTGAGCTAAGATATTACCTATTTGTTCACACTTTGCTTGTTTAGAATTGTTTATGATTGCGCTTGGCTTGTACTAAGCTTATCTAAATGACTTAAGCAAATACTAAAATGAGTTTATAAGCAAGCTCATAAATCAATAGACTTGGCTTTTCATTTTAATACAAAAGTTTACAGCTCTAAATGAACAAAATTCAACAAATTAAAATTAATTTTAAATTCTTTGACAGTAATTAAATAAGATTTTCTTCAACAAGATAATAATCTATTATTGAACAAGTTAATTGTAATCATGCAACATAAACAAGGACTAACAAATATGTTCATCGAAATAGATAAATAAGAAGAGATTGTTGAAGAAACAAGCTTGAAACAAGCATAAACATTTCAAATAAATAACTATTATATGCATGAAGAAATTTTGAAAATTAAGTATTCTTAAGCCATAACTCATTTCTCAAATGTTAATATAGCCTCAAATTAACTTGCATATTTACTAATCATGGGTTAATTTATTTGGAAAAGACATTATGAATATTTATCTGAGGTGAAGCCTTCAATAACCAACTCTTTAAAATCGATGTATCACTTTGATCTCATAAAAGTTGAGTTTTTACTACTATTAAGAAAGTTGACATTGAGGCGTCTATTCAAATTGAACTTGAGGTATCTAACTCGATAATAGTTCTTCCAAAAATAAAAAAAATTATAACACTTATTTTCATCACAGTTATTTCCATTTGCCACAATTTTAAGAAGTTAGAAATTCAGAGACTTGTGGAAATTGCAACATGATTGTTCTTTCCACGAAATGGCTAATCCTGAAAGCATATGCAACCAAATTTATGACAATGAATTTATTGTTTTCAGGATACTGCTACATCATTCAAAGAAAAATAATGCAATTCATTAGTTATTTTATAATGAAGAAATCTAAATATAGAAAATTGTAACGTAATGATTTCAATTATCGCTATAACACTCTTAAAAAATTATTAATAAGTTCGAAATTCTTTTTGCCATTTAAGTAGAAGTGAGGCTTATACAAGGGCTGTTTATTTGTAAGTATATGATTGCAAAGTAAAAGGATTGCATGTGTTTTGATTGTTTTGATGTGAAGCAAAATATGTTTAACATAAATTTTTGACGTATTTAGTACACCTCAAAATCCTTATTTTTCTTGCATTCTAAATGCATCCAAATCAACCGAAATTTAAGAGCGCCACATTCTTCCATCTCATTGCCATCAATCCTCCCTTTCGCCCCCTCCATCCTCTTTGTATAACTTATCTCCATTGCCATTGTCATTGTCATTGGCTTCAATAGTTGTGAAACCTGCTTAACCTTTATCCTTGTAACTATATCCTCAACATTGTGACACCACTAACCAACACACGCTTAGAAAACTATAACTGAGAGAATTGCACCAAATCCAAGTACTCTTCATAATTGCATCCACACCTCTAATTTAAACAATGATTTCTTTGTTTCGCAATATCTTTAGCTCACCACATTCCTCATCAACCCTCTTCGCCTACTCCATCCTCCTCAACCTCAATTACAACTTGTGCATCTACTAAATATTCAATCGAGATGATTAGGTGATGCTAATAATTTATCACCTCAATGTAAGCAACATTTGATATTATTGGTGATAGATTTTAGTTTGTTTTGATCTTGGGTAGATGATGCTTTACATATAAAAAAAAATTTGTAATTCATATTTAGATCTTAAGTAGGCTGTCTATTTATAGGGATATTTGTGCTATATTTTGATCTAATTAAATTCATATCTTCATTTGTCACAACCAAGTCTTCTGGTAGGGTCAATTGTTGTGTGACAGAGGCTGACATTTTATTTAAACCATCTTTCACCAGCACTCTTCTTGACTTTTATAATCAGGATTAAATAGGTGATGAATTATTCTAACTAAATCGCAACAACATACACGATATATTGCATTTCACATTTCATTCATATACATACTCGAAAATATGTAATTCATATCATCCAAAATATGAAAACTATACATAGCTGTTAAATCCAATATAAAAAAGTACATACTCAAAACATATGTATGACTCCCAAAACTATTGTGCATAAGCTGTACACAATGAAGAATGAACAACCACGAGTTCAGAGAAATATACAGGGCTAATATAAGATTTTATATATAGAAAAGAGAATATACTTGCTCGTGTGAAACTGTACATGTCTACATACAAGTCATAACATGCTAACAAAATAAACAATATGAAAAGAAAACATGTAGCTTTAAAATCAAGATTATAGTGTAACATGTAGGTCATAAGCATAAAATCATAAATATAATACAAAACATGCTCATAAGTATTTCCATAGGTTGTTTATCATATGTAATCATATCAATGTCATTTCATAAAGGTCATTTCATAGTAATGTCACTTGTTTAATGTATAAAGATCAACTATTTTCATGTACTTTCCTCATGGGTCGTCACCCTGCCCTAAAGACCATATAAATTATCGGTATAAGTTGGGCTTCCCTCAACATAACAGTTATTGATAACTCCCTCGATAGTCACGATTCTCCAACGTTCTATTACTGCTTAATTCCAACGGTTCCCAGAGTTTTGTCGTATAAATATCAGCGGTCAGAAATACTATATTCCTGCATAATGTACTTGCAATCACTCATGTAATAGTTTACCCATACATTCATTTTGACATTTAAATTATTATTCATTTATCAAATATTTATAAGACATTACATATATCATAGGCATGAAACATAACAAATGAATGCTTGCGGGGAATTCATAACGTAAGCATAGTTTTATGTAGCATAGCTTGATCATAGCATTACACGTATCGCAAGAAAAGTAAACAAGCATTCATACTTTCAATTGCATGTATCAATTTATAATATGCAAGAAATTCTAAATACATTCGCGTCAAGTAAAAATTATATGAAAACCTATAGAATATTATTTTTTAAAAATTAATACAAGATTATTTCACATGACTTGATGAAACAGCCCTACGACGAGTGTCCACATGCTCGTCTCGAGCTCGTCGCTTTCTACAATCTGGGCTTGTAAACATCTAGGGTTTGATAAAATTTGCATTAACTAAAAAAGAAACATTAAATGCGAAAACATACCTTAAAAGGGCTTATTGACATAAATTCGCTTTTTTGAAACCACCATTTTCACTTCATTCATTTCTATCACCTCAAACATTCTCACAGATTTCGTGCTAAAATATTTTCAGAAACTTGCAAATCAATTACGACACTTCTGACACAAAATTGGCTCCTCGAACGGCTACAAAAAATGAGAAAAGCCATGAAAAACGAGGTAAATATCTAAACGGAAAAGTGAGGAAGGAAATGAAAGTCTCAAATGACGTGAAAGAGGGATTTGTGCTTACAGAAATTTTCCTAGAATTCTGGATAGTGCTCTGCGGCTCCCAAGTGGCCATTTGCCCTTATCGATCGCAAGTTGCTCTGCGCTACAGTAATCGAGCGCAAAGACCCACGAAATTCGTTTGCAGGCGTTTCAGTAAGGGTTAAGGAGAAGAAATTCGGGTGAGGGGAAAGACTTTGAAGCTCCTGTATCCCTATTCGACTGAACGAAGGGAATAAAAGGTGTGAGACGGTGGGAAACAGTGCAAGTATAGAAAATTAAGGGATGAATTAGGATAATTGAGGATTAATTAAGTCAATAAATCTTAAAACTTCCCCAATTGTATGTCTCTCAATCCATTCATTATTCATGCATGGTGCTTTATATGAAATTGATCGATTTCATGCATAGAATTTAATAAAACTATTTCGATTGAATTTTGAGAAATGTAAAATTTGAGATATTTTTCAGTTGTGTCAAACTTTATCTGCTTTTTTGATCTTTGGGCGTTACAACTCTCCCCTCCTAATAAAAATTTCTTCCTCAAATTTTTTGAATTTACTGGAATATGAAGGGATATTTTCGTAGCATATCTTCTTTTTTCTACTTTGCTTTCTTTTTAGGTATGTGTTCCACTTTATCCTGACAAATGGAATATGTTTGTTCCTTAGCTTCTTAACATCAGTTTCTAAAATCTTCTCAGGCTCTTCGATATATGTTAGATTTTTCTGTTCGTCAATTTATTGTGTGAAATTCTTAGCTCTAAATTTGAAACTCATTATCTCGTCATTGAAATATGAAAAAACATCGTGAAAATCTGACATATCCACAGGTAACGCTAATCTATAGGCAACTGCACCGATCCTTTTTGTAATTTCAAAAGGATCGATGTATCTAAGACTCAATTTGCTTTCTTTATTGAATCTATTTGTACATTTTATTGGCCTGACTTTCAAAACTACGAAATCTCCAACTTCATATTTGACGGTTTTGTGCTTTGGGTCATAATATTTCTATTGTCAATCCCGAGGATTTTTTAATCCGTCTCTGATTAATTTGATATTCTTGTGGCTTCGTCAACTAGCTTAAAACCTATCATTTGATGTTCACCCACTTCAATCCAACGAAGTGGTGTTCTGCACTTTTTGTCATA